CCCCATAACGTACTTTTTTCACGTTTTCTTCAACTCACCAGTTACGAAATTTTTCATTTTCCTTTTCGCATCTCTCTTTTGCGTAAATTGATTAAACTGTGCCCCCCCCCCATTCCCCGGGCCTTGAGTCGAACATTCTGGTGATGTTGTTTTCTGCTCTGCTGGTAACTATACAACTGCTATGGATATGGGGGAACGTTGTCTATTTGCACGGGAAAAGCGGTCCATTTCGTATATACGAGTAAATGCTGTACTATGGCTAACATCCAGAAGAAGGGAAGGTTTTCTACAATTACTATCTGTTTTAATTGTACAAAATATCCTGATACCCCTAAACAGTCTGGTCACTTACATTTAGTGCAAGGACGGCATATCAATTTTAGTCCTTGTAAATCTTTTTAATTTTTATGTTTTTTAATTGAATTTTTTTTTGAATAATAAAAGGTGCTTCACTTTTTTATTATCGAGTTTATTATCGTTTAACGAATAAGAGTTAGGATTATTGACCTTCATACGTGACATCAGGAACATTTATCAAGTAGTTTACGTAACGACGTTCGACGTAAAGTATTGGTTTGATTGTTACTTTTAAATACCCGATATGAGCGTGAAAGTGGAGATCGCATTTAGAGTCGGTCAGGCGTAGAGTGCACTTCACCGGTAAGCAGGAAAAGTTTATAAAATAGATTTATTGGCATTAATACATTAACAATATTAAAAGGTTTTTCTTTCGGCCTTAGGTGGTGTTGAAGTGAAGGTTTGTAGGATGAGTAGGCTCAAAAGTCAGATTTCGTTTAGTATTTTTATTTGGTAATCCAAATATTTCGGACGCACTTTGCTGTCCTTCCTCAGTGGGACCATGTGGGAAAAGCTTAACGATTAGCAAAATAAAATCAAACAAAAAGACAGGTTTACAATTGTGTGTAGTGCACACAATTGTAAGACTGTACTAAACGAATTCTGACTTTTAAGCCTACTCACCCTACAAACTTTCTTTAAATAAGGTGCGAATAGCTTTCGGTTTTTTCCAACCACAAGCTTTCTGCCAAAGCAACTAAATGACGAAAGTAGGCTTTACCCCCACGGCACCCGTCTTAAAAACGTTAGCGAAACCAACCAATCGAATAAAGGTATGGAATGCTTTAAGGTTTCGAAAAATTAAGAAGGATTAAAGGGTAGGTAACCATCTCCCAGCTAGAAAATGGAAATTCAAAATATTTCCCTTGCCAGAGGATACGGAATTATAGTCTGCATTTGAGCCAGGATTTTAAATTTTTACAATCCCAATTTTCTCTGTCTGTTTGTCCTTTGGCACAACCACCAAAGAAATTCTAAATGAGCACTTTTAAAATGTATTAATCGGTGCCTAAAGGAACAATATGGTGCTCTTTCTTTCCAAGTTTTAAGAGTTTGATTTCCAAAAGTCTACTGTTAAAAGCATTTATTGGCGTTTAAGGATCTTTTAAACTTTAAGGGTCTCTCGATGCACTGCCAGGTCTTTGGACTTTAAAAGTCGCCAAACATGCCTTTGGGGCCTTTTAAATGTACAGGGTATTCCAAATTACTTGTTTTCTTCGTTTTTGGGGATACTTTTAGAACTAAAGGAGAGAGAAGTGATGCGACTGGCACTTTTCGTAGTTACTTTTTAAACCTGTCCAGATTGATTATGTTCATTTTGACGTATGACATCAAACATACTGATTACCGAGAATATATAGTACATATTTCAGGAAATACTCAAAATAGCAGTTTAATAGAATTCATTTCAAATTCTATTGTAATCAATACAGGGTGGCCATTTGAAAACGAAACAGAGCCTATTTTGCGGACTTCAAAACATTTACGAAAAAATCCTCGGAACCATTTTTTTGCTAGTTTCGCCCCCCTGGGGGCAAAGCCATAGCGGGGGTGACAAGTGCCCCTAAAATTTTAAATCGAATGGGGGGTCGAGTGATACCTTATTTTAAAGGTATTTTTATGTAGATTATAACTCTTAAGATTTAATCAATTTTATTTTAAGTGCTTAAAGCTAAACTCAATCAAGTAAATGTTGAAAATGTTGGCATTCGACTTCCATACAATAATACAGGTTTTGTTCAAACCTTTCTCGTACTTTTTGCAAAACTCTTGGGGTGATTTGAGCTCCTCTTCTTCCAATCCATTGTCCTGGAAACGTTTGGTCCAAATATTGACGAACCCCTGCAGCATAGTGGGGTGGCGCACCATCTTGCTGAAATACTAGACGATTTTCCAAGTACTCGTTATTTTCTAGTATCTCCACTAATGCTGGATGAATCGTATTTTCTAATAACTCCAGGTACATCTCTCCTGTTAGATTGCCAGGTAAAAAGAGAGGGCCTAGGATATGGTTACCAAAAATGCCAACCCAAACATTAATTTTTTCGGGATGTTGTGTATGCACCACACGAAATATCCTGGGATTTGAATCAGCCCAATAGAAAAAGGAGCATTTATTTCAACTCTTTCAGGATTTCAACTCTTTCAGGAAGTGGATAAACCATTATCACTGTTCAATGTATCGATTTTGCAACTAAATAACTTTAAAGTGCTATGATTTGACAACAACAATTAACAATCACTATTAAACTTGAAAATGTTGCTATAATTACGCTCTCAACAATAACCAAAATTTAACTAATTCATTTACAAACATTTTTTTTCATAAGAAAATGTTGACACGTTTTTATAACTTTTATTAGCTCCTGTATCGGCTAGGCAAATTAGTAGCGATTTAAAAGTTAAGGGTTATAATCCACATAAAAATACCTTCAAAATAAGGTATCACTCGACCCCCCATTGGATTTAAAATTTTGGGGGCGGTCGTCACCCCCGCTAGCGCTTTGCCCTTAGGGGGGCGAAACTAGCAAAAAAAATGGTTCCCCCTTGAATCAAAAATTGACGGGTTCAAGGATTTTTTCGTAAATGTTTTGAGGTTCCCAAAATAGGCTCTGTTTCGTTTTCAAATGGCCACCCTGTATAAATTAATCTAAAGTCTTAAGGAAACCATGGTTTAGTTCTCAAAATATCGTCGAAAAACAACGAAAACAAGCAATTTGAAACACCCTGTACTTAAGGTTCTTAGACCTTTTAATAGTCATGAGGGCAGAAGGAGTTCAGAAAATACAAAAATATCCCTTTCAACGTCACATCACAGATTTTTCAATCAGTAGCGGATCCAGGGTAATATCTTGGTGAGGGAAAATGTTAGTACAGTGATGATTAGGTACCGAGAACAAGAAAATCTACTAGCGCTCTGGAAAAAGACCGGAAAGGTTTGGGGGAAATCTAATCTTAGTGTAACTGCGATGGTTTTTATAAAGGTTTGAGACCGTTTTGGAAAAAATCTAGAATATTCTGGAAGGGCTTTGAACATCGTTGGGAAGAGATTTTAAAAGATACAAAACTTTTGGTATTAGGGTTTCCTGATGTTTTTCTAAATTGAGATCCTTTTCAAAACTTAACTTAACTTAATTAATTAACTTAACGCCTGATTAGTCCAGGCACGGTTGCGAATTATCTAGATACAATGGATTTATTAGGAAATTGTGGATCGATGCTTGGTTCGAATTGAGTATCTATCTTAACTACTCTTAACTAATGTTAAGGCCTCGGACGGACGGACAGAGAAAATAACAATAATATCGCCTTCCAAGTTGGAAATGCGTTGGATTATTTCAAATTAGCTACAAGGAGAATCGATTTTCATTTTTCTAGTACTTTTTCGCAGTAGCTAAAAGCTTTCGCCACCCCCAGTAATGCGGGCGGTAATTTTCCTTATCTCCCTCATAATCCTTTTTTGGAAGTGAAATTCGCACTTTTTGTGCATACGCTTGTAGTGCACATATTTCAAAACGTTACCTATTTGAATAGAGCACAAAGGAATTTACAGGACGCTAAGTTATGACTGTTTTAGCTGTCAAAGCACCTAGTGAAAATGTTAATTCGTAATCATCTCAGGGTATCATGTCATTTCGTATTGCGCAATGGGAAACGTTATCTAACGTGTGTCAATGCATATGACACATTTCCCTGTTCTAAGGTAATCTCGATTAACTAGATTTCTACTAAATCCGATGGCTTACGTTTAAATCCACTTTGATTGTAGGTACATTATCTCTTAAACCCCGCCTTATAAAAAATTGCTCAATTTTCAGTTTCAATGATCAAGATCTTTCCCTGCGCGTGAGCGAATTATGAAAAAAATCTCAAATGTGAACAACAGTGCCACGTACTGTAATCTCTTTCAAAGGACATCGCGAATTGTTTGTAAAAGAAAAGTGGAAGGAAATCCTTTGCGAAGTTCACGTGTCTCCCAAGAATCGCAAATCTCTGAAACGGGTCATTAAATTTGTAGCTAGTTACCGTGCAAGATGTTGCAACCGCTCGGATTCCAAGTCAAACTATATCGCGTTTCCACTTTTCTTTTGAGAAATTCTACGCGGAAATAAGAAGCCGCACTTTTCCCCTCCTTTACAAAAAGCAGATTAAACGATAGAAGGCCGGAAAGTTACGTTTTGGTGTAATAATTGTGATTTATACACCAACGTATAGGCATTGGCATTAAACCCATTAACAACTTAAATTACATGTAATTAAAAGGTGATCCGCTGAACCAATTTATTATGTGGGATTTTCAGTTCAAATTTATTTTGTGTTACGTTATGTACTTTAACGTAATTAGTATTGTACAATAAATTCGGGAAAATGCTCAACAGTAAAACAACTTTTTTATTTTAAATTTATCATTCAAAATAAGTAAAGCGCGCCCTTAAGTTTCTTTTTGTATTTCCAAACGGTGTATTCTATGTCCTTTTGATCTTTTATATCAAAGGTATAATTTAAACTTAAATCTCTAGAGTGACGTGTACCAGTTTTCATAAAGAGAAATGTCGATCTGTGTAATACATAACTTTATCTAGCGCGCGCTTTGTACATTTGGATTAAAATGGCCGCGTCAATAACTACCTTTTTTCTTACAGAGATACGACTGGCCCATCGGAAGACCTCTCGACCACAATGAATTACTTCAGATCGAACTCGTGTCACAAAATCGGGTCTTGCCCGATAAGATCATTGGATACTATGGACTCTTTCTTCAGCGCGTTATCAGCGACGGTCGACTTTGCATATCGGATTACCTCAATGATTCCAATCACAAAACTTTACCCGTAAGTACATTTCAATTAAATTGGTACCTATAGTTCGATTTAGTGTCTTAAACAGTGTAGAACGAGATTTTTCCGGCATATTTACACAAAATAAAAACCAAGATTTTAAATTTGTCAAAGTACACATACTGTTAAATTAAATCCACGCACACGCGATATTTTGCATGTTAAAGTGACCTATATTTTACAAAATCAACTGACTTATTTTTTATTCATCGTAGAATAATTTGCATTTAGTAATTTACGACAATATCAAAAGCTGTAGCTACATGCGTTTTTGTGCCTTGAATTAACAATGGAAGTTTCAGATTGGCTCTAAATTGGATTACTTTTTACTCTTCTGTAGTCAAACGGATCGTTTCGGATTCTTAAATATATGAATCTGGTCAGATAAATTTAAATTTCCCGATGTACCTACTATCTTCATTAATTTTATTGATTTATTCAATTTTATTCAACTTAATGTCGCTGCATCGTATATCAATGACGGTAATAATAATTTTAATTCTTTGTTCAACTTCACATTCCTGTCATTTTTAGCATAGCCTGATGATGGATGAATAACCCGAAATCGATCGCTTTATAGAAAAACAATAAAAACATTTGTGGTTCTTTTTAATACTTCAAATATTTCAAAAATCTCAACGAACCAAAAAAAATGGAGAACTTCATCACATATAAATTTAAATGAATTTAATTACCAAATCCATTGGGATTAGGAGGAAAAATTCAATATATTTGTTATGAATTGCGAACAACGTCCTTTAAAGGTATCTTTTTCAATTCCACAACCGAATGTACAGGGTGTAAATCGAAAAGTGGAACATAGACGTTTAACATGGGAAATTACTTTTTCTTTGCGCAAACGTTTCCTAATTATTTTACTCAAAAATACTTCAAATAAAAGTTATAGAGATATAAATTCTGCATCTAAATCATGGAAACGATTATTCTACCTCTTCTTCTACGCGAAAAAATTAATTATAAAGATTCTGACTCACGAGTTTTTAGTCTAAGTAATGGACTATGATAAAAGAAAAGCATAGTCCATGGCTAAAAACTCGTGAAAACAGAATCTTTATAATTAATTTTTTCGCCTACCAGAAGAGGTAGAATAATCGTTTCACATGATTTAGATGCAGAATTTATATCTCTATAACTTTTATTTGAAGTATTTTTGCGTCAAATAATTAGGAAACGTTTGCGCAAAGAAAAAGTAATTTCCCATGTTAAACGACTATGTTCCACTTTTCGATTTACACCCTGCACACGCGAGGGGTCGTTTCTATATTCCTGCCCAGATTTTCAATATCGTTCCCCTGCTTTCGAATACAGGTATAACACCATTTTAGTAACATCTTTAATCCAGTCTAAAAATATTCATTGGTTTTTGCGCAAAATGGCCTCCACAGCTGCTATAAGTTCGTCATTGTCCCTAAATTGTATCCCCCTAGTGATTTTTGAGATTTGGGAACAATAGTCCAGTCAAATTACGGTTTGGGTTGGATGTTGTCACTTCACTCAACGACACCAAGCGTAATCCTATGTAAAAAAGTCCGCTGATTCCGAAAATCATGGTCCCCCTGGGCGGAAACGCCCGGAACATATTGTTATAAACAAAAAACGAAGAAAAAATGAGAAAATGTCCTGTCTTTTCACATTTGACTTCGAATATCTCGTTAACTATTGCTCTGAGGGAAAAAATGAATAGAAATGAACTTGTTTAGAATAAAATTTTCTATAAGATACAGTCCGGAAGGATTATTTCAATTGTTATTGTTATTTATGAAAAAATGTAAAAAAGTAACCTCGAAAATTAACACTTTGATGTTATTACTAAGTAAAAGTCATCCGATCTTTTTGAAAATCCGTATTTAGTAACTTCTTTTGATAACAAAACAATATGACAAACCAGATCACCGTAGGTTTCATACTCATTGATTAATTAAATAAACAAGTGGAAACTGGGGGAGTGTTCCCAATTTTTTTATACATAGTGGAACCGTAAAACAATCTTTTCCAATAATTGTCCCGATCATTTTTGCAAATCAACGGACTGTGGAATTTTTTTAGTTAACTAACAAATCGAATAACTTCCGAGATTTAACAAGAAAAGTAACTCTATAATCGGCCCTTGGCACTCGGATTAATAAAAATCATTCATTTTGGTGAAATACAAGCATGAAAAAAGTTCACGCTGTAAAGAATCGATCGGTGCGACCCGATTTGCAAAATCATTTTTGGTTGTTTCGAAAACTGGCTTCAAAGTCAAAAACTGATTTCTCGTGAACTATTCATCGGATTTGGACGTATTTTTTTTTAATGTACGGCTTTCCGAGAGCTTTACATTCGCCTATTATAGAGTTATATTTTTTTTTGTTATATTTCGGGAGTTATTCCATTTGTTAACTAAGAAAATTATTCGGATTTTGAAAAAAAAATTGTACAGTCCGTCGATTTGCAGGAATCATCGGGACAATTATTGGAAAAGATTGTTTTACGGTTCCACTATGTATAAAAAAATTGGGAACACTCTTGTACTTCCCTAGTTTGAAAGACAAAGCATCTCTTTTTCTACTTGTTTATCTAATTAATCAATGAGTATGAAACCTACGGTGATCTGGTTTGTCATATTGTTTTGTTATCAAAAGAAGTTACTAAATACGGATTTTCAAAAAGATCGAATGAATTTTACTTAACAATAACAAAGTGTTAATTTTAGAGATTACTGTTTTTACATTTTTCCCTAAAAAACAATAACAGTTGAAAATAAGCGTTCCGGACCAACTGTATCTTATAGAAAATTTTATTCTAAACAAGTTCATTTCTATTCATTTTTTCCTTCAGAGCAATAATTAACGAGATATTGGCAGTCAAATGTGAAAAAACACGACATTTTCCCATTTGTTCTTCGTTTTTTGTTTATAACAATATGTTCCGGGCGTTTCCGGCCGGGGGGACTATGATTTTCCAATTCAGCGGATTTTTTTACATAGAATACGCTTGGTTTCGTTCAGTGAAATGATAACATCCAGTTTATACTACTTTTAGAGCTAATTTGACTGGACTACACAAATAGTCACTGGGTACTATCTGGACTGTAAGGCGCATGTTCAATTTCTTTGAAGTCACAATCAGCTACAGCAGTTTTTGAAAGTCTGGACTTGTGCACTGGTGCAGTGGCCGATTTACCAGAAGGCCGAGTAGGCTGGAGCCTAGGGCGGCAGATTTTAGGGGGCGGCAAATTTGACCCAACAATTTGTATCTTACACAAATTTAAAAAAATATTGTGCAGGGTGAGTTCTTTTTTTTTCATTTTGACTATGGATATCTTGTAAACCGTAAATGATACCATATCGCTTAAATGGTCAAAGTTATGCAGAATTTATGCTGATTAATTTTCCCTTTCAAACACCCCTATCTTGAACCGCTCGAGAAAAATCTGTGAGTGTGTGACTTTCTCATCGGCGAGTCATTCGCTCACCAAATTTCGTATCATCCCCTAATTTTACGAATAAACATATACAGGAGAAGTGGAAGGCAGGTACGGCTACTTTGTATAGCACCGGAGATTGGAAAAAGTGTCAAGAATATACGAAATTATAAAAATCGCTGGATATGACGTCGGTTATACTCACTCACTCACACGGAAGTCACACGTTGAAGAATAGGGGTTAAAATACAGTAGATATAGCCAAAAAACCGAAAAATTAACTTCCCAGAACGTACTAGCGTTCATTTATGTTCAAAGATATCAAAAAATAATTTTAACAAACTCTTAGAGTTTTCTGACGAGGTTAAAATGAAATTTTTATGACTTGTGGGTTTCGAGTCTATCACATCAACTTTCTTACTCCTTATGGGCGCCATATTGGATTTATACACTGCCCAGACAGAGAAAAAAAATTACAAAATCGGAAATACCAAATACTTGATATTTCATTCGGAAATTAATCTTGAATATGTTTGCATTGAAGTTTACCATGTATTTCTTATGGTCATAATTCTCTGATCGTGTTGGTGGAAATCGGAGACTATGCCATACAATACACGAAAAATGTTAAATAATTTTAAGCAAGCCATGGAATTATTGCTATAAGAAATACGTTGTAAAGTTTAATGCAAAAATTCAAGATTAATTTCCAAATGAAATAGGTACTAAGTAATTGGTACCTCCGATTTTGTAATTTTTAGCTTCCTAGCATGAGCTAGATTGCCGTTTGGATCAAAATTTCATCAAATGTCGACGTTTGACATCATTTTTAGCAAAAACAACTCAAAATGTCTAAAGGTTAAAGGTATTCGAAATAAACTGATTCAAAGTTAAAAAAGTAAAATTTGTTTGGCAAAACTAAATTAATTCTAATTAGGAATTGCAATTATTAATTATGTCATGCTTTGTGACTTTAAAACAAAAATAAATAAATAAAATCAATAGACAAAGATGAACAAAAATTAAAAAAAAATTTCAAAACCCACTTGTGGATGTTGCCGCGTAGGAATTACAATTATTAATTACATGATACTACAATACTACAAAATGATGAGGAGTAACGGGCAAATATAACCCATAGCATCTATCAATTAGCGAAAACCCGAAGTTTTTAGGTGGCCCGGAAAATCGAGCACAGTGCAAAAACAACAGAAGAAATTTAAAAAAACAATTTTCAATTATACCAATAAAAAATTGACCGTAATTAATAATCGTTTAAGATATAACATCCAAATTACATTGAATTCTGTAAGAGATCAACAACAATTTTCCTGTGGGAGTTTAAACAGTTTAATAATAAAACGGCACATACAGCAAATTAATATAATTTTTTGTAATACATTAGGCATAAAGGATGTATGACTATCAAAAACATTTTTTTTCTTGTTAAATATTTGCTTTGAGCTAGGAAGCTGTTCTGTCAAGAAATGGGCAACTGGTTTTCTCTATCTAGTGACGTAAAAATCTAATATAATAATAATAAAAATAATAAATCGTTTACTGGGTT